ACAGAAAAATAATAAAGGAAGAGGTGGGTTTTGTACCTTGAAAAGGAAGATCAGAGGCGGGAGAGAGCGTGAGTGAGTCGAAAGAGACGACTCGTTCGAGTGATGAGAGAAGTAATTTAAGGAGAAAAAAGGAAGAAGGAAGCCATGCAGATGGCACTTCAGCTTTTTCCAGTTGCAGCAAGAAGAAGCCAAATGCCACGACCGGATCGGATTAAAGATAAATCACATTCCATTTTTTATTTAATTAAAGTAATGATTGCTAATTGGAATGGCGTGGAGTTAGCTTTTGCTTGCTCTGTTTTGGTATTGGGCACTCCGCTGGAAAAGGCCAGATTGAAAAGACATATATACCCTGCCCACTGTCTGACATTTCAACTATTATATATATCTTTTAAATTAAAAATATAAACCCACAATAAAAATTTTCATTATAAATATCAAAATCAAAATAATATCTTTTTATTTAAAAATCAGTATAATAAATATAATATATAATTAAATAGAGTAAAATATCTTTAATCTCACGTAAATAAAAAATAAAACAATAAACTTATGAATAAAGTTTTTTTATTAAAAATATGAATAAGTAGTGAATGAGATCAAAACTTTCTTCAAATTTGATTTGTAAAATCTCTTGTGAGAGATTTTATAATCGAGATAAAGATTAATTCGAGTTAAATCAAAGAAGATGGGGCACGGTTGAGTGGCTATAGTAAAAAAGAAAAGAGGGTCAATTTTGTGGATTGAAGTGGCGAGGAGAGTGGTAGAATCAATTAGCCGTGACGTGAGAAATTGGCGAAGTGGTGTCGCTGAGTCACCAGGCATATTGGACGAGTTAACAAATGCCGTAGAAGAGGCGCTCCAATGTGTTTTGCGGCTAGCCAGGATACGCACCTCTATGCAACTGCAAACTTTTATAAACTTTATATATACTTATATTTATTTATATTAAATTCTATTCAAAAATTAATATTTAATGTCCAAATTTGGTTATTAGTACTTATATAAAGAAAATTCAAAATTTAATCTGAATTTAAAATAAAAAAAATTAAAAATTAAAAGTAAATCATAAAAATAATAAAAATTATTTTAAATGATCAATAATCTTTGATAAAGCATAAATAATTTCTAAACAAAGCAATAATATGTGAAATTAAAATTTAATATTACAAATTAAACACACCGCTTCAATTTTTTTTTCAAATATTAAAAAAATTCTAATAAATCTTTATTTTTTTATTATTGTAATTAACTATTACATATTTTTATTTTAAATTAAATATACTCTTATTATTAATGATTGATTAATTATTATTAATTAAAATATAACTTAATATTTCATATCATTGATATGACACATTAATATGTTATATCATCATTCATAATAATAAATCAACACCACATAAAATAAATGATAAATAATATTTTATTTAGTTCTATTTTTTTTTAAATTGAAAGGAGAAGAATTAAAATTTGTTCTTTAAGTAAAAAATTATGTATCGAGTAATGAATCAAATATTCAAATATTTGTTTAATTGTAATTAATCAAGTGCTACTCGTAAAAATTTATTTAATCAAAAATAAATATTTAGGTATTTGATTAAATATAATAAAAAAATTTTAAAATAATTTTAAAATTATATTAAATAAAAATTATTATTCATTAACGAATTGGAATTAAATAATACTATTGGCATCTAGACCTGTCAATATGGGCCAGCCCGGCCCAACCCGGCCCTAGCCCTTGTGGGCTGAAAAGATATGGGCAGGGCCGGGCCAGCCCATACAAAATGTTCAACCCAGCCCACCCCTTGCTAGCCCATGGGCCGGGCCAGGCTAGCCTATTTTTTTCAAAAAAAATTATTTCTACCACTCATCAATACAAGTATACAACTATACTATGATTTAGTCCATAAATTAAATAATAAAAATATATTACAAACAAATAAATTACATCAAAAATAAATAAGCAAATACATTACATCAAATATAAATAAATTTTCAAATTTTCAATATTTAACCCACCCCTTGTTAGCCTATGGGTTGGGTTGGGCCAACCCATTTTTATTTTTTTCAAAAATAATTAATTTTTATAATTTTACTTGATAAATTTTTTATTAATAAAATTGTTCTATGATTTAATTCATAAATTGAATAATAAAAACATGTTACAAATAAATAAATTACACCAAATATAAAAAAATAAATAAATTACATAATAAAGTTTAAATCTTTAACACAAACTACTATCTTATAAATATAAGTATATAACCAAATAATAAAAATTTTAAGACTCATTTATATCCTCCTCAATCTTCATTCTCAAGTAAAACATTTAAATCTTATTTAGACAGCAATGATGTCTCAAGGTCTGAATTATTATTAATTTATCATCTAATATTCATTACCATAAAAGAAAAAGAGATAATAAGTTTTAATTTAAATTAAAATTTTTAATTTGACAAGTGAAAATTAAAGACATTGAAATATATAAAATAAACAATACTATTGATAACTAAATTATTGATTTTTCATAATTAAATATATAAAATAATTAAAATTATTTTTTAGCCCATGGGTTAGCCCTGCCCCAGCCCACATCAGCCCACTGATTTGGTGGGCTGACCCATTTAAACCCGGTTCAAATATGAGTTAAAAATTTTCAACCCAGCTCACCTCATATTTAATAAAAAATAAACCGACCCTATAGGTTCGGCCCATTTTGACAGGTCTATTGGCAGCCTTACTTGAAACCCAAGTGTTGGGCTTTTGGTTGGAAATGGAGTTCGCTCGCTTTTTGTGTCTCTTCTATAGTAATTCTAGAAGAGACGGTAGGGGTATCGTATGGCTCTAAGATTCAAAAATGGTACTCCAATTCCTTCCTTCAAGGCTTTGTTTGCCGCTCAACGCTGCACATTTCCACATTCTTCCTTCAACCTCTCTGTCTTTGCCACGCCCGGACAGAAGAAAGATCCCAACCATGTCTTTCCCTTCTTCTTCTGCGGCCTCACCATCTGTGAAGGACCCCAATAAGGAAGGAGAAGAACAAGGAAAGGTAGCTCAAGCACTCAAATACCATCATCAAACGAAGCACAGTTTCACTAACTACGCGAGAGGACCACGTGGTCTGGATTGGGCCAATCAACCCAACCCCTTTCGCCGTTACATCTCTGCTCCGCTGATTCCCCTCCTGCACTTTCCCGCAGAGAAACAAGCTATAACTGATGATGCTCCCCTGTATTCTTCTTTGTTCCATTCTCTTCCTCCTCCTAAACCCATCTCCCAATCCTCTATCTCCCAACTGTTCTACGATTCTCTGGCTCTTTCAGCTTGGAAAACCACCGGCAATTGCACTTGGTCCCTTCGGGTCAACCCCAGCAGCGGCAATTTGCACCCCACCGAGGCTTACCTCATTTCTCCGCCAATTCAGTCTCTCTCTGACTCGCCTTTCGTCGCACATTATGCTCCGAAAGAGCACTCTCTCGAGGTTCGAGCCACAATCCCTTCTGGGTTTTTCCCCAAATTCTTCCCGGAGAACTCGTTTCTCATCGGAATTTCTTCTATTTTCTGGCGAGAAGCATGGAAATACGGAGAACGCGCGTTTCGGTACTGCAACCACGATGTGGGTCATGCGATTGGAGCTGTTGCGATGGCTGCGGCAACCCTTGGCTGGGACGTGAAGCTTCTAGATGGGTTTGGGCATGACGATTTGCAGAAGCTAATGGGGCTTGACATTTTTCCAGAGTTCAAAGTTCCATCAAGACCAATCAAAGGGAAGTTTCCTGACATTGAATTCGAGCACCCGGATTGTTTGCTTCTTGTTTTTCCAAATGGGAGTAACCAATTCCATGCAAATTATAAGGAACTTAGTTCTGCAGTCAAGGAATTCGTGAATTTGGAGTCGAAAGGGAAGCCAAATTCGCTTAGCAGAGAGCATGTTTGTTGGGACATAATTTACAGGACAGCTGAGGCAGTTAAAAAGCCATTAACCGTTCAAAGCGGAGAATTTCCTGTGGATCAATTTCAAAGCAGTGGAATTTGTAGTGAAAACTCTTACAAAGGTCTTACGGTGAGGGAAGTTGCTAGGAAAAGGAGGAGCGCGGTTGATATGGATGGAGTAACTGTAATGGAAAGAGAAACGTTCTATCAGATTTTGTTGCATTGCGTTCCTTCAGGGAATGGAGGGAAGCATAGAAGGCAATTAGCATTGCCTTTTCGGGCTCTCTCTTGGGATGCTGAGGTTCATGCTGCTTTGTTTGTTCATAGAGTGGTAGGTTTGCCCAAAGGATTGTATTTCTTGGTAAGGAATGAGGATCATTTAGAGGAGCTTAAGAGGGCTACCAGGCCTGAGTTTAACTGGGAGAAACCAGCGGGATGCCCTGATGATCTTCCTTTGTATGAACTTGCCACTGCCAACTGCCAAGAGCTTGCCAAACGCCTATCTTGCCATCAGGTGTGTGCGATTCTTCCTATATATATATTCACTGGCAAAGCAACTTTTTATGTTAGGGAAGTGCTTGATTTGGGAAATGGAAACAGGTTTATGCAACAATAGCCCTAGTCTATCAGTGCATGAAATTTGCAAATATAAATGCTAGTTAAATATGAATGCTAGAAGTGGAAAAAAGCTTTGCAGAAAATGCTTGAGAATATATGTTTTCAAGAATGGCCTTGTTTCCTACAGAAGGCTGTTTTGTTGCTGAGTGCAAACCTTGGAACCTAGTTTTTAAATATGACTAAAATGCTTAACTTACAGGACATTGCTAGTGATGGCTGCTTCAGCCTTGGGATGGTGGCCCATTTTGAACCTACCTTAAGTGACAAGGGTGCATGGATGTATCCTCGACTGTTTTGGGAGACTGGAGTTCTTGGCCAGGTCTTGTACCTTGAAGCACATGCGGTTGGCATATCTGCAACTGGAATTGGTTGCTTCTTCGATGATCCTGGTATGTTTCCTTATCTTCACCTTTGTTTTGACCCTAGCATTCCAAATCAACAGTGATTATAAATGGTATCCTAGTCATCACATGGAGCTTTACATAAAGGATGATAGGTTACATATCTCATCTGAGGTATACTGCATTCTTTATGTCAGTAGTTGCATAAGGTGGTCTCATCCTTGGTCAGGGTGTATAAGCCAGTGCCATTACAATTTGCATGTTCCTTTGAGATAATTGCAGTGAAATGAGGAAAAAATGTCCTTAAAGAACATACTCTTTCCTCTATAATGAGTAACACCAAAATCTAAGGCCTGCCTTTGCCCCAACTCCCCCTTATTACAACAAGGTGCGCTCTGTCATTGTGCAACAATCAAAATGATGTCTGATTTTTCATTTTGTTGTACATTTGCAGTGCACGAACTTCTTGGGTTTAGAGGATCAAAGTTTCAGAGTCTATATCATTTCACCATCGGAGGCCCTGTGTTGGACAAGCGGATTATGAGCCTGCCAGCATATCCAGGCCCTAGCATTGATAAATGATTGCAGTTTGCTGGGTCGTGTTTGTATCAAGATTACAGGAAGCTGCTGTTGAGCACCAGTTACCACTCTACCCAGTTAGGAAAGTTTGCCAGTAAAGAATGCAGGTGATTCAAAAGAGGAGAGAAATTTAGATCAAGAGTAAAGTAAAATTATACACAAAGACAAGGATGACGCCATTAAGGTTTGCAGGTGCATATAAAAACGCAAGACATTTAGATAGATACAGGGCCGTCCTCAAAGCTATTGCTGCATGTAAATTTTACTTTTGTCTAAATCCGAATTTCACTAGATGACAAATTCGGAGTGTATAAGACTACAAAGAGAAACAATGGAGGAGTCGGGAAAACCACAAGTGCTCTCCCCTTTGATTAGGAAACTAATATTGTTTTTTTTTTTTTGTATAAAGCAAACTAATATTGTTGTAATAAAAAAATATCAAGTTTTAAAATTTTGCTTTTCTTTGCAATGACATACAATACAAAGAGAATGATCAATGGCATTGCACTCCGCATTCTAGAAAATGAAAAAAGTAGAGTTGCTCATTGGTAGACTACAGATCTTTCAGAAAGGATTCAAACTAACCTGCAGGGCCAATATGGTGGACTCTTAACAAATAAACTGAAATATATTAAGCATACCTATGGAACATTGCACTATTGACATCAGCTGAAAGGTATACATGCCAGTGATAACTGCCTTCCTTTGATCCTTCAATATCTTCAACTATTCACAGCATCAATTTTCCAACCAACAAGCTGAGAAGAAAAGCATATGCAATACTTAAACTTGTTTAGAACCCATGGAAGTTCCTCTACGTGACAAAACAGACGTTGTCACTGTTGTCCTAGGAGATTAGTCGGATAAAAAATTTGGGCAAGCCTGAAGCATGAAAAAACTTCTGTCCTACTTCTCCATATGATCATTGATGCACTGTAGTCTTTGTAACTATGGCCAGGAGATTCTACCCGTAATTCCAAGCAAAGAATGAACTTAGGGAACCAAAAACACCATAGGTGACAAGGCAAAGGAGTTACTCCATACGAATTACTACTACATTGCTTTCGTCTCAGTGCCACCATTTATAGTCCATCAAAGGCCATCATTGACAACCAGAGCTCTTGGAATTGAATCCACCCACGCTTTCAACTCCATGATGGATGCACAATACATTACCAAACAGCATATCAGAGCAGCAGCTTGCTACAAGAATACAGGGAACACATCTATTTCAAAATTTATGAGATCACTAAACCCAGTAATCTTATCCACTTCATACTTAAATGAATCCAAGAAGAGACCGAGAGTAAGCCCAGACTTCCAATAGTTAAACATGGTGATCAGACTCCTAACATTGGCGAGTACAGGAAGAGAGGCCCTATACATGAGGGCTCCTATCCCCTCCACAACAAGCACAGCCAAGGCGGCAGAAAGAATATCCCAGTCACCCGTCTGCCCAATAACAGTAGCAAATGCAGTTGCACAATAAAATCCTAGCAAGAAAAAGAGTATCTTCATTGGAAGGTTTCTCCTTAGCTCCTGAAGTCTCACACCTAGTTTACTTTGAATAACTTGGATGGCCCTAATTAATCTCGGCCTGCCATTATTGCTGGAAGAAGGATCAAATCCGCTGGCATCCACACTGCTTCTAATAGACCATGCCATCCTCCTGCAGAAGTTGAATCAAGAATACAACCTTCAATAACATTTAACATACCTGAGCTGAACAACTACTTCGCTTCCATTCCATATTAAAAAGAGGAAAATAAGATTGTGCCAACCCATTTGACCCAAAGTTAAAAAAGGGTTCACAGTTACGTACCTGAAATTATTGATGAAAAAGGGTTGAGCTACATGAATGGAACAGGGCTGGTAACTGGGTTTCCGTCCAAAGAAGCAACCATTCTTGTGAGAGCATGCTCCAGGGTCTACAGTCGCATGACTTGAACTGAGAAGCTTACAAATGGAAAAATTAGCATGCCTTGGACGGTTGGGTAAGCTTGTTGTCGTCGCCATAGCTCCGCAGAAACCTGCAAACTAACAACTCAATAACCCAAAGTAGCAGACCCAAATTCCAGGCTCTTGTATGATGGGTTGAAAATTATAGACATTAGGATGAGTAAAACCCAAAGGGAGCATAAGAAAACTTGAAATGAAGATGCAGAGACAGAGAGACAAAGAGCGTACAAACAACAGCTTCCAATTCCATTGAAGGAAACGCAGCGCAACGTGCTGAAGAAATTACAGAGGTCAGAGACAGGAGATAACAGGAAGAAGAAAGAGGAAGGGAGAGTAGTGAGAGGCAGAAATTTTCATACACCAATACTCTGTTTGCTACCCAATACAATAAAATGTGACCGTGACCGACTGTGAGATCTCCGCTCCACATACCCGCGTCCATGTTCCACCCGACCCGATTAAAATTTACCCCGCCGCTTTACATGCACTAGCTTGGAGTATACCTCTGTTCTTATTTTGAGTTTTGGGTCTGTTCAATTATTTTAATCTCTTTATTTTAATTTTAATAAATTTAATTATATATTTTTATTAAAAATTGTTTTAAAAAAAACAATTGATAACGGTGTTGAAATTTTATTTTTAATTTAGATGACGGGCATTTTACCGATCATCCGTCATAGGTGGATTAATTTTTTATTACATGATATATCAAACTAAAAATGTCATTTTTATTTTAATTAAGTAAAAATTAACATTTTTAAAAATTAAAAAAAAAATTTTAATATATTTTACTAAAATTTAAGTTTTCTGTATTAATATTTTTTGAAAAATTTATCCACATGATCAAAAAAGTTCAAATTAATATGTCACGTTATAAAAATAAAATCATATAACCAAATTTAATTGAACAACTTAAACTAAAAATAATCTGAAATTCAAAATAACTTAATAAAATGAACCGATACAAAATGATCCACTCATAAGAATCTAAAAATTGAACAACCCAAACTTCAAGTGATTCAATCCGAAATAATATAATTCGACAAAATTGTGAGTCAAATTAACGCGAATTCGAATGCTCAACTTGTAATCAATTCGGTCGGTCGAAACAATCTGATTAATAAAAATCCAAAACTTGTAATAATTCAGTAATTAAACAACTCAACCTCGAAATAATTCAATCCAAGACAATCTAATTTGTGACTTGAATTGACATGAAATGACTTGACCTTAAATCAACTCAAGCAGCCAACTTGATCTTAACCAAAATGACTCAAAACTCATAATAACCTAATGATTGAACAACTCAAAACAATTATTGCTAACTACTAGTAGTGTTTGTAAGATACCTTAATCTTACTTAATCGAGTTAGATTATATGCATCCCTCGGCATCACCCACATTTCCGAAACATCTGAACTTTACAAGGTAAAGAATTTATTCACATCATCTTTAATCTTTTTCTTTTTCTTTTTCTTTCTTTACCTAGCCCCTCCTTGTGTTTGCTTGATTATACTGCTCAGCTCTGGGGTTCACTTATTCTTCACATAAATGAATGTACAACACTGCACAGAGAGAGATCAACCCCCACTTCCAAATTGTTTCTGGATGTCTTTGAAGGATACAGTGGCGGAACCCCTCCTTTTGGCCTTCTGTTGAGAAGGATGTTCTGTCCACCCTGTCATGTAGATCACCTACAAGAGCAATCATAGTGTCAAAACACCTCTCGTAAGACATGACCTAGTGATTCATTAATAATTTTATTCCAAGAGTCAAGTCAGGCCTTCGATTTGATAGAGACTATGAAATCCTAATAACCCTGGTGTCGAAAATACCGGATAGAGTAGATAAGTCATGAAAATATCACCCTTTCCAAGTCATGATATTATTACCTTGCAATGGACAGTAATGCACTGACCTGGAAAGTTGCAGGGATGGTGCCATCTTCAGCTGCAAACAACGCATCATAGATAGCTGCAGTTGCTAGAGCTGTTTCCCTCTTCAGGATCTGGTTTCAAGGTAGAATAAATGAAGTTTAACAAGATTTAAATTAACATATTTTGTTCCTTGTTTGAAGAAGTATCACTTCGATTAAATCATATGGACATCATTGCCCAAAAGATGTCTTACATTGCTCCTTTGCAGCAGAGCATTAGTTTCACCCATTTCTCGCAGATGTTCTATTAGGTCCAAGGCTGCACAAAAGAGAGAGAAACAGAGGCATGGTTTGTTAATAATGAAAATAATATTATCAAATTCAGCAAGGTAAAGAATAGAAGGCCAGTTAATCATCATCAAAGAGAGAACCTATATGGAGGGTAAAATGTACATTCGGTGCAAACCAATATGAAATACTCTCTTCTCAATCCCAAATCCCATCGATACATATTTCCTATGACATTTATCCTAATAACAGGGAATTATTACAGCTAGAAGTATTCCTGGCTGCAAAAACTACAGCATGTCAATAATCTGAAATTCTGAAGTTGCTTTAGCAGCAGATCTCATATTTCTTGTTTCTTAATTCATTGTCACCAAAATCCACAAATAAATGTGGAAGCTCCTCAATGATAGCCTCTTTTTTATTAAAACATGATAAAATCTTGTTCAGATAAAGTTCCATGCTTTGATTCCTCCATTTGTATCCGCAGATGACCTCTAAAATGCAACTAAGAATTTCATAAGAACTTATTGTTCCCATTTGCAAATTGTTTAATGACTTGGCTAGCTCTATATTCATGTCCATCTGTTTAAAGCAATCATGGAAAATAAGACATAATAAACATGAAATTTACCCAGACATTTTATACGCCCATAGTTGAGAGCTAGACATCGTAAATTTGATATAGATCACCTTATCAGACAAATGGTACAACTGTACAAATCGAAACCTCAAAAAATGTGAAGAAGTTCTTACCGCTCTTATACCTAACCACATATTCATCAACATCAACACCAGGAAGTGCAAACCCTGCCCTGGTCAAAAGGTTGCCTGCATCCCTGACCTGAGGAAGACATGCTAAAATGCTGCTTAGCACCACGGGTGACATAGGAAAATTGTTTTTCTTCTTTTTTTCTTAAAAGAAATTTGTTTTATTGGGACATTATTATTTTTAAACATAGACATAATCGCATTATGTAATTGAGACATGATTAATGTAACTCAAAACAAGCTTAATCACTTATGGTCCTGTGTCAAATGCAAATCACCAAGGAAAAACCAAATCAAAGTTTGCAGATTGGGAACTAGCATTCCCTTGCCTTTAATATACTTTAATTGGATGCTGCCAGCGTTGTTTCCCACCATTATGATCAATACTTTTTCACACTGAGAGTTTACTTCCTCCCCCCACACCCCCAACCCCCTCCCAACAGAAAAAAGAAAAAAAGAGAGAGAGAGGGAGAGGAAGAAACATCAAGAGCTTGTTTTGCTTTCTTTCTCTAAGTTTAAAATTTCAATATCAGCATCAACTTCAGTTTTGCAATAGTGACCAGCAATCCGATATGAGATTCAACCTAGTTTCTTAATCCGATATTAGATTCAACCTAGTTTCCTAATCCGATATTAGATTCAACCTAGTTTCTTATATAGGTTAGCAATACAACAGTTTTAATAGGAGACAGAAGACATACCATGAACAGCAAAAGTAATAAAGCAAAAGAAACTAGCATCACCTCATGCCAATTCAGACTGGTTCATACAATTCAGAATGAAACCTAATTAAATTAAAAGACATGTTTTCAGGTACCAAATGTCATACATTGGTGCTTTCCAACTTTATTAGCCATATGGTATTCCCCATCAACCATTTGGCATGCACATTGAAACTAGGAAAAAAAAGAAAGATAGAAAAAACTAGAGATAAACTTCATAGGCATGTATAAGTTTTCCATGTACATTGCAATATGCAGATGAATTATAAGTGTGTATAAGATCAATATATTTTGATTAAAGCTAACGATCTCCTCAAAAGTTTTAAATCTTTTAAGCCAATTTTATCTATCGCATAGATATAGACATATAGTTATGTCAAATGAAAGCATGAACAGTATAAATCAATAGTGGAAATGCAATAGCTAAAAAGTAAACAAGAATGAATAATAAAAATTACATAAATAATCCACTGATTGAATTATAACATAAAAGATTAGGAAACTCAGAAAACTATCAACATCCAAGCAACTGAGTTGACAGAAAATATGCAGCAAGTTACATGCCTGTGCCAAAGGTGATAACCGAGGACTAATGCCTCCTTCACGCTCCATTTGAGCCACGGTGCATGCTATGCGAAGCTCCCTAGTCAAAAGTACAAGCTACAAAAGTGAGATAGGAAGGCAGCCCATGCATCAATGCATAGACTAGGTTCAAATCAATGCAGTTAAAAAGAAAAGGGTACAGTCAACTTTAAAGTTTCGCCTCCAAGAATAGCTGCTAAGAATAGGCCATCCGGCTTCAATGCCAGCTTACACTGTCATAAATACAATGAACATGACTCTGTCATTGACATGGACATATACACATACCTGAATATTATGCATGTGATTATAAAGTTTAACAAGAAACTCCATTAAAAAAATACAACAGAGGGGCTGTGGGAGCAAGGAGCTGTTCTTGAGTGTCAGCAGAACAAAAATAGATTACAACAACAGAAAACATGGCATAAAAATTAGCTGAGGCCTTTATAATTGAATTTTAGCACTCCTCTCCTTGAGCACAATGCATCTCAACTGGTAATTGTAGTGAGTTTACACCTCTCAATCAAACATTGATGATCATGATGTACAACTTATTGTTACAGAAGCCACTATGCTACTAGCTTGCACTCAAGATTCATAATCATAAGAACATGTGTGGAAAATATTTACAGTTCTTCTGTTCAACCATGGATTCATATTTACCTCACTAGTCACAGCCATGTAAATCATTTAAGAAAGATATTTAATTATTGCTTGATTTTTTTAGGAGAATAAAAGTGAAAGCTTGTCCCAAGGAGATGAAGAAGAAAAATTATCATTTCCTAAAAGAAGGGACTGAACATATATATAGCAGATCTAAAAGCAGGGAATATCTCTTTTGCTAAAGTATATGCACAATAATTATGCTTGTTACTAATACCCTAACCATCCCATTATTCAGTTATAGTGTACTCATAACATGCATCTCAATCTCAAGCCAATGCTAAGCCATACTGCACCAAAATTGACATGGGTGCTTAATACAATGAGAAATACAAAGTGCATACCTGTATCATGGCACCTGGAAGATCATTTGTCCAATGGAGGCCTAGGCAACTGATTACCAGATCTACTGAACTTTACATCAACAAATACAACCAATTAGAATGTAAACAAAATTTTCCAACAATAATAAATAGATTAAAATTTTCATGTTTACCTTTCTTTAATGGGCAGAAACTCCTCATCGCCAACCACATATGATGTTTCAATATTTTCATTACAGGAATCTGGTAGAGAACTTTTGCACCTCTTTACCATATCATATGAAGTATCCATCATGATTAACTTATCAATTTCACCTGACACCAAACAGTTTTCAATATCATTGTGATTGATAACAGTTGCTAACCATACAGGGCCATCTTTGATTCAATCACTCATAAATATCACACTTCCCTAAATATTTCCTAACAACGGCAACATATCTCTACAAATGTGTAGAAAAGGAAAAAGATAATTCTTAGTATGAGTTACAAACAAATCATTGCAACTTGCAAGCATCAAGAGCAAGTTTGAACAGCTATTGAACATACAATAAAGCAGTCAATGAGACATTCTAAATATTGAATGATATACATAACTTTTGCTTTTGTATCTAAATCCGCCTTTTACCTTTTTGATTTTGAAAGCCAAAAGGAAGTAGCAAAATCAACAATCCGAAAGGACTTCAAAAATAGACTTCAAGAAACAACAATGAACCACTATAAGCATGAAAAATAACTTGATTATATTGTAACAATAATTCTAGGAAGGAGAAGCTGCAGAAGTTACAATCCTGTGCCTTAACATGGCAACAACCATCTCATATGATAGAACCTAAATCACTAAAACAACTGTGATTACACAACAAACAGTAACCAACTATGCTTTCCAATGGCAGCATCTCACACATACAATTTTGTACACTTTATTTGCAATTGGTTTTTCTCTGCTCAAAATCCTTGAGATTTTTCCTTGATTTCAAATGGGTGTTTTAAAACTTTTACCTAATTGAGTAGCAAGCCTCAAACACGAAGAAACAAAAAAAAAATCAGAATCATATTACTTACATACTTCTAAATAAAAAAAAGAATTAAAACAGGCTCAGAAATCTTATATGTTGATTAGAAATGAAAAGCAGCAATCACTTCAAGCACTACCTCTAACTAATTCAACCACTGCCACATAAAAAGAAAGCTTTCACTGAAAGTTATCTTCCACCTTTCTATCAATTGAAAAGGATCCCATCATCTAAATATTTTTCCTCTAAAGTTAAAAGAACATGCCATTGGCTAAATGGCTATGCTAAACATACTCGAGTCTGTCATTGCAGACTGACTTGGAGAAAACCCTTTTATTTGGCATTTGCATGATGTTGCCACTAGAGTTCAGAAACTCATCCTCGTGTTCACCACAACACTAGAAAATAAACTATAACGTTACACCTTACAATTCTTCAAAATACACATACAAACAATGTATAACAATTATTTTAGTAATTGCAATTTTCAAAAAAAGAAAACAATGTATAACAATTGTCATAATAAACAATTTAAGTAGCAATAGAAATGGCAGGAGAGGAAATTGCTAAACCAACTCTCACCACGACCCCGGAGCAATTGCCTCACAGCCTGCAAAGAGCCTCCCAGACACAATGCTGTAGCAAATGTTTTCTTACAGTCCTACAAAAAAGCAAATACATCTTTCACTTTCACAATTATAATATTCCATCTAAGGAACCTCCTTCTAGTTGTTGCTTTTGCTACTTGCATTCGTTTATTCTTCACATAAATTCCTAAAAGTTGCAAATAAGTAAAAAGTAAATGATAGAAAGTAAATATTGAAGTGCCTAGTACTAATTAAAGTGTGTATGTGTGTGTGTGTATAGTACGAAACTTATCTTTAAGGTTGAGGCAATAGCACCACTTTCCTTAAAATCAATATCACAAAGTTATAGTACTTTTGATATAAATTTATATTTCTTGGAAATAGAATTTCTAACCAACAGAAAACCTTATGCCACTAAATTACATCACTAAAATTAAATTAGAAACTTATCCACGAAATAAAATGGTAAGTAAAGCAAAGTGGACCACAACCTCCAAGCGATCTAACAGATTCTCAGCTACGGCATCTACAAAGGAATCATTGGGACGCAGCAACCACGCAGCTCGATCACGCTGCCACCCGAAAATCAATCACTTACTAGATTTCAGAAGGAAGCATATCACAGTCATATAAATTTGAAAAATACTAGTACATGTTTGCGTTTGAGGTGGCGGTCGAAGATCTTGACTTTAGAAGGATTGCTTTGAAAGGCGTCGCCATTGTCATAGTCCGCAGTGGAGAAGGAAGCGGAGGATAGGAAACAATAGTAGGGTTTGGCTGTTGGTCCTCTTCTTCTCCACAGGGAACAAGTTGTATGATAGAAAAGGGAGCTCCTCATTCTTCTTCTACATTCGTAAACAAGGAAGGAAACCCAAAAATGAGTAATTAATACATTTCACATCCTTATGTTTCTTTTTAAAACCCTTAATTAAATCGGAATAATCAGTCCTACTCCTATTTATCTCTCTCAGACAATTCGTCGAACCATGAGCATGCAACAACTCCAAATATGAGCAGACAAGGGATTAGGGGCAACCTAGAATTGACGAGAAGCAAATGCTTGGAGCTACCAAAGCCTTGAACAATGGATCGCTGGGCAGCTCCGAGTCGTCGAACCAACGGATCACTATGGGAACCTACTTGGGCAACTGTAAGTCCAAAGCTGTTAGTGTCGTTTCCGGTTTTCTTCTTGTCGTTGTCAAGGCAATGAGACTGAGCACTGTATAATTTGGTTTAAATGTCAAAAATCAAAAATAATTTTATTTTTAGGTTTTTTTTTAAACCTATTCCTAACTTTTTCTTATAAATTTTTCCTTTTTTAAAAATAAAAATATCAAAACTTTTAAAGGAAAATTTGATACAACAAATTTTATCAATTTTTTTATACCTCACTCGACTAACTCGTGATGTTAATCTCACTTATAAATTGAATAAACAAATAAAGTTTAAATATTTAATTAGATATTTTTAAATTTTAAATATCAAATAAATTATTTAATTACAATTTATAAATCAAATTTATAATTAATTTTTATAAAAATTATTTTGATGTCATTGTCTAAAAAAAATTATTAAATTTTTAAATACTTAAATATCCATATCTTTAAATTATTCTCCAAATGAAAAATATGTTTTTTGTAAGATAAAACTGTCAAAACCCCGTTTCATATGAGTGTAAACCGTAACATTTGATATCAAAAACGACTAACGATGGTGAATCTTGTTGGAATGAAGAAAACTATTACGATTAAATTCCATATCGACTATATATTAAAATACAATTAAGTATTTCACTGTTCATATCATTTTTAATTTGTGAAGTATTTTTTGTTACATAATAACGTGAATCTAACCAGAATGAACAATTCCGTACAGATTGGTGTGAACCATGACATTTAATTGAGTCCACAATTAATTATTTGTACTTATTTGAGAAAAACAGAGTCTCTAGCAACAAGGACTTTGCGGAAGAGTGCAGAGTGTGGGAACTGCCTCAATGACAGCCCCAATGTCACAAGAGAGATCCAAGGGAGGACTACCAAAGAGTGGGTCTGTCATGCCATGATCTCAAAGTATTGAGATGGTTGCACAATGTAGCACTCAGAGAGAAGGCATGAATGAGACCATACCATCAGAAGACCACACAATTGATGGTAACAGATGGGACACTCTAGTAACTCTATAAAAGATCATAAAATCAGCAAGGTACTATTCTTAACATTGAACTAGTTATTCTTTTTACCAAAAAATAAAGAAAGAAACGAAACATTGAACTGGTTATTACGCAAGTTCCAAGAATAAATTGTGTAAAAGGGTATTGAACCACCTTTTAATCTAGTCTTATTTATGCAGCCATAGATCCAGAATTCTCCTTCCTAAGCTCAAGTAGTTGTATAAGAGCAGCATCAATTTGTGCAAACACGTTCTCCTTGGGGGCATTTCCATTGACCTGAAATAGGTCGAAACAAATAAAGTTGTCAAACCTACCAAATCATATATGCCTCCGAACATTCTCTTCAAAAAACTAATTCAAAGATAGTTAAATTTAATCCATCCTGGTAACCACTTTTCCTGCCGTAAAATGATTCAGCAGACAATAGCTTCATCTTTAGGAACAGTGTCAAACAATAAGAAAGCCTGTGTATTTCAAGATAATACCTTTATTAATTCCCTTTTTTGTTCTTTTTTTTTTCAATTCTCACGCATAGTTATCAGCAAACATTAATCTTGAACATGAGGAACACATCAAACTTTACATTTTATCACAAATATGAATACTGGTTTAAATTTAAAACATCAATATGATATAAGCAATTAGGTAATCCAGGATTCATGCACACCAATGTAGCAAGAAAGAACGACAAATTGAGAATATGTAGTTAATGTCTTAAACCCACATATTAATGAGATTCATAATAAAGGCATCATGACTAACATGCATCATCAAACTTAGACAGTTTGAATTCTAGTTGCTTTGTCTGGCTAGGGTGTTTTAGTTGCTGTCTCTTGCCATCACAAAGACGAATAGCACCTGCATAAAACTTTTCCAGCAATCTATTCTTATTTCAAGCCACATCATTCATTGAATTAAGACACCTACCTTCACTACCCATGCCAGTATTCTCACCAGCCTAGCTCATTCTAGTGTCTTTGAGAAAAAACAATATACAAAAAACTCCTTTTTTTTGTCATAATATTCCCATAATCACATGACCTGAAAATTGTCTTTCAGAACTTAACCTGATCTTGCTTGCTATGCCTTACCTTTTAATTAACAAAAGGTAAAAACAAATTCAGCTCCGTTTAGATATATAAAAGGTTTGCAAGAAAACCCCATACCAAAAAGAGTTTGGTTTTTAATTTATGAATACTAAAATTTGAACCTCTTTTAATTATAGAACAAAGCCAACAGCATAAATGATTCAGTTTTTTCATCTTTTTCTGCATGACCCTCGGCAAGCCTTCACTTATATCAACTAATGTTACACAAGGAGGTATGAGAGTAAGCCATAGAGAGAATTTAACATGCCTTGACTGTGATATCTTTATATTTAGAAAGCACAGCTTCCACATTTTGATGATGCGTGCGTAGCCGCAACTTGACCTAAAAGATGCAAATAAGGTAATGCAACTTGTCAGTTTAATAACATGGACAAAATGCCAGGGCACAACTACAACGGAAGAAGAATCCCAAAAGTTAAAAAGGAAAAAAACACACGTGTCAAAAATCTAAAGAACACAGAAATCCAAACTACAAATAATAAGACATGCCTTTTCTTCAGTATCATCAAAACGTTGAGTAAGCCTAGAAGCAATTTCTTCATTCTCCGGGGGGGAATATTTCAAGTGGTATATCTTCCCTGTAATAGGATCTAATCTTCGTCCAACCACTCTCTCAACTAGAATGTCTTCAGGAACCTGCAAGCAAGTTGGACATATTTGACAAGGATGGCAGAGAGCACACTTTCATTGATGCTTATAGTTGAAAATTACAACTATGAACTAGTTTATGAGTGGCTAAAAAACAGCATGCACTTCAAATTGTTAACCAACAAAAACAGCAACAATATATTCTTACTTCCAACAAAATGAAAACATCTGGATGAATCCCAAAATCCTCAAGACCAGCTGCTTGAGATAAGCTCCTAGGGTATCCATCTAAAAGCCATCCTTTTTCTTGAGAATCTGGTTGCAACAGACGCTCCCTGACCATCTAAGACCAAAACTATAGGATTCATCAATAGGAAAACATTCTGTGACAAAATGAACAATATCTTCCCTACCATAACAACTATTTCATCTGGCACCAACTCTCCTTTCTCCATGTATTCTTTTGCTCGCTTCCCATTTTCACTTGCTGAAGCAACTTCTGCTCTCAGTAAATCTCCAGCAGCAATATGCACCAAACCATACTGAATAAACACAAACAAAATCCAATCTGCTCATTCTTAACTTTGGTTGCAAATGAGAGATTCATCCAAAAATAAAAGTAACATGACATAAGGCCATCATTATTGACAGAAAGCAATGCCTTAAGAAAGTGAAATGTGCTATTTAGCCAAGTATTGACAAATAATCACTACAGAACTGCAAATGACCATCCTGGTTTCATCCTCTACCATTTATTTCATTTCTATATCTTTGCTCCAAAGAATTTGTTCTTATAGCTAGAGGTTAACACAAAGGCAAATTAAGAACACATTAACTGACACAGGAAACAAAGATATCAAGAAGTGTTAAGATAGATATCAAGCTAATCTGAAATTACGGTCTTGGTCAAGCAAAATAGCTGTATCTTTACATACACATCTTCCATCAGATGCAACTCCACCCCCTTATTTCACAGCTGGTTTAGGTGTAACATGTAGAAATGTCATTCTCCTCATATTTTTATTCAATTTCTGCAAACCTAGCCACAAAATATGAAACCCGCTTGATTTGCTCTCGCAAAACACTCTAAATGATCTTTTTCTCTTACACTCCAAGCAAATCCACATTAAGTGGCCATTAAAGGTCAACCCAAAATCCAAAATACTGTTTAAAATATTGTGATCAACACCAGGACAGCACCTAGTATAGCTTTCCTAACCCTTGGTTTTTCCCCCAAAATCGTAACCACATAGCAATCCCAGTTACGAAATCCAATTGTTCTTATGCTTTTCTATCTGTTTTACCCTAACATAACAAAATAAACTAACCCCAAAAGCTCAAACCAGCTAACAGAAATATATCAAACTATAGCAACTTTAATTAAGCAAAATTATAATTTCAAGGTTGTTTTAGAATTTTCAAGGGAAAAGCAAACCATAGTTTAATTCATAAGTAAACATGTAAAATCAAGGCATAAAAATAAAACCCAGTAATTGCCCCTTTATACGATGATATACAATACTAAATATACCTATAACAATTTAAATTAAATAAATATCGATAGAAAAAAATGAAAAGACAAGATAACCATAATAATAAATTAAAAAAAAAAACAAATAAGCTTACTCTTTTGGTGATGAGCTCACATTGTGTACCTTTACCAGAAGCAGGAGCCCCTGATATCATTACCTTCAATGGCTCTACCTTAGCCGATGCTGCAACCTGCCACGTCATTAATATTTTCAAAAAAAATACCATTAATAAGCAAGAAGAAACAAGAAAAACAGATTCAAAGGGAAAATTAACTCAACCCGTAGAATTGAAAAAGGAAAATTACGTGGAAATTGGGGGCATTTGGTAAACGGAGCTTGTAAGAGCGAGGGTGGGAGAGGATTTGATTAGAACGGAGAGCAAGGGAAGAAGAATGAATCGGCGTGAAAGAAGACTGGGGAAGGAGAGATTGGTTAGGCTGCTTTGAATTTGGGGAAAATGATGGAGAGAGAGAAACGCAGGGCTGAGTAATGGCGATGTTTAGGCATGAACTGCTTGCCATTTCTATGGTTCTCTGCCTCTCTCTCTCTCTCACTCTATCTCTCTTTGTCTATGGACAAATACGAAGAACACTTGACAGCCGCCATTACTATCATATCTTTTCAAACAAGCGCCTGTCTTGCATACCTCTTTAAAATATAAAATATAAAAATTCAGTTTGGTAATAATAAAAATAATTTATTATAATATATTTTACACAAAAATTTAATAATCTTTATTATTTTGATAAATTATTAAAAATATTTTTAATTATTTATATCATGGGTAAAAAAAATATTTTTAAGCATTTGGATATTTAACTTAATAATTGATGTATAATCTTTTATTTAAAATATAAAATTTGAATTTTTCTTCTCTCAATTAAAAAAATATATATATTCTTTCAATTTATTTAATCGATAAAGTCATAAATTAAAAAATTGAAGAAAAAAATATTTTCATGTGTTAAAAATTTATTTTTTATTTTATATAATTTTTTTAAATTGATCTTAATTATTTAATGTTATATTAAAGATTATAATACTTTAGTAAAAATAATTATCTTGATATGTTGAAATAAGAAATTTTTGACATTATATTTTTAAAAAAAAAGTTTCATAATTATTTAAAAATTTTAAATAAAATTATTATATTTAATTAAAATTTTATATTAATAATTAATTAATTATTATTAATTAAAAATATTATTTATCAAATTTTATACACACTAAGGTTACATACTTACATATAATAATCCATGTTATTATAATATGATGAGACGATTGTGTCACATTTTTTACCTACTTTGTCAACTTTACATAAGTATAAAATAATATACTGAGTTAATATGTTTTTTTTATTTAATCAAATTTATATATTTTTATTTCAGATCAAATAAAATTTAATAATTAATTTTTGATTAATTATTATAAAATAAAATATTATATATAATTATATTATTATATCATTATAATACATCAGTATATCACATTTAATTAAATAATTATTTAAATATTAATAAAAAAATTATTTAAATTAAAATAAAAATATAAAAATTTAATAAAAAATAATAATAAATTTACTTAAATTTTTATGAATTATTACACCTAAAAATTGTGCGGATAAAAGAAAAAACTTTATAACTTCTCCGGAGTAGGAAAAGTTGCGAGGCAGGCTGAACGTTGGACACCGCTCAACCATGACACATTCTTTATCTTCCCTCGCTTCTTCCTTTCCTTTAAACCCCAGTAACAGATATTCCTCAAACCCAAACAGCAAGAACCCTCCATCTCCAACTGCTTCGCTTCCGGTTTCTTCGCTGCTATTCTCTTCTTCTTCCCAAGAATTCTTGAGAAACGTGAAATGGGTCTCACGCAGAAACAGATACTATCTCGCAAAACCTGCTGACCAAGATATAGGCACAAGGGAACCCTCTCCACAAGTTTCAGGAGAAAATGCTGCAGCTTCGAGTTCAACTGCTGATGGCAATGCATCCACTAGTTTATTATCGATCCTTTGTCCCCTCCTCAGGTTATTCTCTGTAAGTCTCTCTGTTTCCTTTAAACTTTATTTTAGTAGCGGTAATCATGGAATTTGGCTCACTCTATGATGAGATGGGTAGCTGAAAATTAAAGAAAGTTTCAGTTTTGAGTAGATTCAATACTAGGCGTATGTCTCTCTACTGCAATTCCAAACATATTTCCTTTACTGTATTAACCTTCTTAGAATTGATTTCAATGTTTTAGTATATGCAGTCCTAATTTCTGTGGTGATTTTTCTATAGCCTTTTATTTTTGTCTTATCAATGCCTTTTGTACTGTGCCTTGCAGGGAGGAGATCCCTCCCAAGAACGGAATCATGCTCTAGAGGTAATCTCTTTCAAAAGTCGCCCCTTTTTCTCTTTAGATCACTTGATTCTTTCCCCCCAACTATTATCTTTCACTTCTTTTTTACTGTCATAAGTCTTTTGTCATAGTTTCTCTTCCTTCTTCAATTTTCATCTATGTAGATCCTCAGGAAAAGTTATCATTTAAACCTGTGTTAAATGCATCACAAACAATTAAATTCATTGCTCCATGCTGGCATAACCCCTGTTATTGCTCCAGTCTGTGGAAGGATCTCAACCATTTTTATACCCTTTTTTATGTTCTTGCATTGGCCGAGCTTTAATTCTCTAACTTTCTTTTTCTTTTCTGGCTCAATAGTAGGTTGCAACATCTTCCTTATCCAGCTTAGCAAGATTTCCTTGGGGATCAAGATCACTATCAGGGAGCTTAGAGAGCCAGGATGTAACGATTTCTGATCCTCCCATGCGTATGCAACTCTTTGAATTTGGTAATCATCTTTTCAATCATGGGGTTGGCTCATAATATGCTTATAAAAGTCAGAAATTAGAAAAGTTGCCTTCTACATTTTATGAGGTTCAAGAATGTTTAGTAATGTGATTTACATTGTTTTAGCTTAGTTTTTTTTGTTCAACATTTGGGCTAGGATAAGACCAAGAACAAAAAGGAGGCTACTTTAGTAAATGGCAGAATGGGCTCTAGCTTTCTGAAAACAACTAAATAAGCACATAGTAATTACTAAGTTCTTACCCCTTGTGGTAAAATTTATCGTTAATATTGGGATCAATGTTTGAACTAATTGCTTTGATTGGAATTTTCTGAAATTGAATGTTTTCACTTTATTTAATATTTGAATTTTTTAAACAGAGGCATGCCCTTTTTGCAGAAGGGTTAGGGAAGCATTGACAGAGTTGGATCTTTCTGTAGAGGTGAGAATCACTATATACATTTAAAAATTCGTTCTTGATCACTATTGACCAAGTTTATTAGCAGCTGTCCTCTTATATGAAAAAAGTCTATTTCCTGATTGTTTTCTGAGGGGCTTTTTTAATTCAAAAAAGTAATGCAAAACAAATGTCGTCTTTATTTATTTTAAGATTTAGAAAAAGCATTATATCACCCAGCCTATTGCAATGTTAGAGAGCTTAATAGAGGTAGCAATTGAGCTGGTTGTTTGGGTCATTTTGGGTCAAGGGAAATTCGGGTCATTTTTGGGTTCAGGTTATTTTGTGTTGGGATAGAGGTGGCAAAACTGACATGAACCTGAAATACCTGTCCATCTTATTTGAACCCAAGCCCAAATTGATCTGAACCTAATGACCTGAATTCGAACAATCTGGAAAGATAACCTGAAATGACTCAAAATTAAATTGAGTACTATTAAAGTTATGAAAGCTAGTAAAAATAATGCTGATTTATTTCCAAGATTGCTGCCAATGGCAAAATAAAAGCTCATATCAAGTTCCAAACTTTAAGCAAAAATTTGGAAGAGATAATATTCTTAATTGAAGAAGAAAATTCACATGAAAAAATATAAACTACCAGAAATATTGGCTCAGTTCTGCCACCTCTAGGGCTTAACGAGTGTGGCAGTGACTGCAAACCCTTAGTCAAAATAATTTGAAATGAAGTTTGCTGACTTGGTGAATCAAATGGACCACTTCTGGCCTGCTTTCTTGGGTCTTTCAGTGTTTAGTGCACTCTTTATATGATCAGAACAGAAATGTATCCTTTGTTTGCTTCTTCATAGAAAAGTGACTAAAGTGACAAATGCATTCAGCTTTATATCACATTTATACAGTATTCCATGCCCATTTTGACTAGATTGTCAGTATATGAATCCCTTTTAAAAGAAATAGCTTTATTTTTAATAGTCTGCTGTATCTGGGCCCCCTGCATCCTGATGCAAACTTTTTGGCATTTATGTATAGGTCTATCCTTGCCCTAAAGGTTCTATAAGACATAGGGAAATGGTTAGAAGCTTTGGTGGAAAAGAGCAGTATGTGGTTCTCTCTCGCACTTTTGTTGATTGAAGCTGTTGTTCCGTTGGAGTTTTGGTTGTTGCTTGGAAGTTTTCAAGTCATTGAAACTCCAGCTATCTTGAATATTAGTAACTTTATATGTTGAAGATGATGCACAAATTTTTGTATGTATTAATGTTTTAGATACTACCTGAGCTTAATTGGTATTGGTTTCATCAAACCTAATTAAAGCATTTTAGGGGGAAAAATGGAGTAATTAATGTTGTTGTGTGTTTCTCCTTTTTCTCTTACGGAAAACTTGGTCTCTAAGTTTCTGAACTTCTCATGCAGGTTTCCCTTCCTCATTGACCCAAATACTGGAATATCAATGTATGAAAGTGGTATGTTGTGAAGTTTCAACTCATTTGGATGGTTGCAACGTTAACTGCTATTAATTTCTGTAGCAATGATCGCCTGTTGTTCTGTTAGAATCTTCTTAGTAAGTCATTACTGTGTTTGATAATGATTTGTACATGATAATTATAAGTTAAGGAATAGAATAAATATATATACATGTATAAATAATATGTTAGAATATAATTTTTTTTATATTTTAGTATCTGCTACTTTTGTAATCAAGCAACTTGAAGTCCACTAAATATGGACTCACCTATCTTTCAATGTTTTACCTGGATAATTTTGTTAGCGTAAGACAACATAATTGAATTGTTTAGAATGAATTTGATAACCCAATTGCCCAATATCATAGGAAGTCGCAGAATTGCATTTACACTCGGTTCTATGGTTGGCCAGATGGTCTACCTACTGCTTTTTAATAATATCTCTTTCTAGACTGAGCTTCTATTTTTGACAACTCAACTAAGTCTTAACATTAAATTAGTGGTGTCAGCTACATGAATACTTTTCTCCATTCTTTTCCATTAGGGGCTAAAGCTACTAGAAAATGTCCAAATGTCAAGTCTGCTTGTGATATTTCAACCAGTGAGGTTTTTAGCCTACCTCCACCCTTTTTCTTTCCTTTGCCCATATCCAACATGCAACCTTTATGTACATGACAACAGAACTATAATCTCTTCCTCATGTAATACTTGAACTTTCAGCTGTCATGTCTGCTCTTCAGCCAAAGGGACGACTATCAAGTGGTGTTTTTATCTCAGGGATTTTCTGTGTCCCTGACAACCCGCATATCTTAGGGAAAATTAGATACCGTAAACTTCAGCTTTACTGATTTAAGAAACCTCTCTGGCATGTAAAACACGTTGATAGTACTTCTTTTGTAAGATGCCCTCCAGTTAAGTTCCTAGGTT